ATAATAAATCCAAGCAAATTCGTGGAATGAACCCCAGACGCCGTCGTATTCCTACACGCGGAAACGCCCTCGTTTTGACCAGGTTCATGTGTCCATCAGCATCGCTTCCTCCTTTTTAACCACTGTCTTTTCAGTCTTCTAGAACACAATCCTTCCCTTCCGCTCCGCGGTTCGTTGACCTGAAAATCTTCTGTCACCGGGGCAGCCATCACTGTTCGGAACTTCAAGATCTGTTGATTATCCGATTCAATTTCACGAATCTAAGGTTAGATCTTGTATCCTTGTTGTTCTCACTCCAACCCCAAATTTACTTTCTAGGGTTTCAGTTTTAAGTTCTGTGTTTCAACGTCTAACTTTGTTCTCCTCCGCTTCTTTCAGATCTGATTAGATAGCGAAACGGGTCATTTTGGGGCCAAGTACAGCGACAATCCAGTCCAGGTTTTGAGGTTTGGATATAGTTATAACTTTTTTTACAGATCTGGGTCTGGTAGTGCTTGTCGTTTTGATTGCATTAAGTTGGTGAATTGGAAATGTCAATTTTGCCTAAGGGGGATTCGATTCAAATTCGAGAGGTGTGGAATGATAATCTTGTGGAAGAGTTTGCTTTGATTCGTGAAATTGTTGATACTTACAATTATGTCGCTATGGATACGGAATTCCCCGGCGTGGTTTTGCGCCCGGTGGGTACTTTCAAGAACATAAGTGACTATAACTATCAAACTTTGAAAGATAATGTTGATATGTTGAAGTTGATTCAGTTAGGTCTAACATTTTCGGATGAAAATGGGAATCTTCCTACTTGTGGAACGGATAAGTTTTGCATCTGGCAATTCAATTTCCGGGAGTTTAATATAAGTGAAGATATATTTGCAAGTGATTCAATTGAATTGTTGCGTGAGTGTGGGATTGATTTTAAGAAGAATAATGAGAAGGGTATTGACGCGAATAGATTTGGAGAGCTTTTGATGTCATCAGGGATTGTGCTGAATGATGGTGTGAATTGGGTTACGTTTCACAGTGGATATGATTTTGGGTATTTGCTTAAGTTGTTGACGTGCAGGAGTTTGCCAGATACACAAGCAGGGTTCTTTAATTTGATCAATACTTATTTTCCTATGGTGTATGATATCAAGCATATGATGAAGTTTTGCAACAGCCTTCACGGTGGATTGAATAAGCTTGCGGAGTTGTTGGAAGTGGAAAGAATTGGTGTGATGCATCAAGCTGGATCTGATAGTTTGCTCACCTCGTGCACATTCAGGAAGTTGAGAGATAACTTTTTCAATGGCTCCACGGAGAAATATGCTGGTGTATTGTACGGCCTTGGCGTTGAGAATGGACAGGGTACTAATTAGAAGAAAAACGACTGAGTAAAAAATTGATGGTTGTCTGTAGACTACTTGAGTGTAAGACTTATAACTTTGTTGTATACACTGGAAAAAGGATTGTTGTTTTCATTGCTACGTTTCTATTTTTCTTGCATTGTAACTGAAACCTTAACTGGGTTTGTAGTTTGAGTCAGTCTCAGTGTAAATTGTTGCATTTAGTGTTTCAATAATAATTTTAATGATTCACATCTTATACGTTCTGTCCTGACTTTCTATTGCATTCTCTCTATTGATTGAACATACGTCTTACCATGAATAACTTTGCAAGGTGAAAATGCATAAGAAAGCAGGACAAATTTTTGTACTGCAACAATGCCAACGGTTCTTATTTGCTTTTGGTCTAGCCATCAGTTTCCTCTTCCAACTGAGCCATAAGTTCAGGTCGAAAGTTGAAAATTTTCCTCTTGTTAATATCATAACTAGGTGATATCATAAATCAACTTTTCACGCTTCATATTATATTTATATCTTTATTTCAATAAAAAAAAAAATCATATAAGTCAAGTTTGGAAAAATTTTGAAAAGTTACTATTTTCATTAGTTTCTTCAAAAAAATTAAACTCTAATCAATAACTTAGAGAGCAAACTCTCCCTTATGAGTTATGTTTATTTTTTTAGTATAAAGTATAATTCTTAAAAATTAAAATTATGTTCACATGAGGTATAAATTAAAGTCTAACCCTACATTTAAATAAAATAAAATTGATACTATCTTTTAAAAATTACTTCTTTTGAGAGCTTTTTTTAATTGTTGTAGTGCCTAACTTTATATAAATTAACTTAATGATTTTATATAATAAATAAATTATAGTTAAATATTTTTATTTAAATTAAAATATTCAACAAAAATTACTTATAAAGTGTAAAAATTTTTAATTATTAATCATTTACTATATAAAATTATTTCCTCAAACTTAGGTAATAAACTAATTCGGAAATAAATTTATTTCTCAATAAAAAGACCATTATACCCTCATTTGGAGCCCCAGCCGGGCCAGCCCTCCTTGCCTAAAATATAAAAAATCCATAAAACCGGACACACCACGCACACTTGTAAGACATGGACATCTTAACAACCAAGAAGCGGTAAATTCTCGAACCGAAATGACCACAATACCCTTTAAGTATACATAATTACATGAGTTGGATGGTAATTATACCCTCCCGAGCTCCGAATATGAAGAGGTGGTTGGTTTTTATGCCAAAAAATTTCTAGTAGTGAGCTAAATCACAGTTTTGTCTGTTTTCACCTCCTCCCGTGATCATTATTTTTAACTCTTTCTCCAACTCCGGTTCTGGTTCCGGCGGCCGGCCGATCTCAGATCCAACCATTGCTGGTAACTCTCTCTGTAAACTATATCATTGACTGCTTTTCTGTGGTTAACGTATCGTTTTGTAACACAAGAGAGCTGGAAATGGCGGGTTGAGTCTGACCGTTACGAAGTTTTTGTGAATCAACATTGCGTTTTTGCGTGGATTGTTGCATATTCATGTAGAATTGTCATCTGGGTTTGGTGGGAGTGCTGTTGGTATAGCTTTATCGTGGTTCTGCAAGATGCAGCTAAAAGAGTTGCTTGGTACATGGGCTTTGAGTTGTTTAATTTTAAATGTGTTTGCCTTTTCATGTCTGCGTGTGTTATTCTGTATAATTCATGGACTTAATGCCAATTTGGGTGGAAAATTTGAGTTAGTATGAAAAGTTTAGATTGCACTAGTTTTGATACGGAGATGTGTTGTTATAAGAATGCTATTGCAGTTAGGATATATGCTTGCTAGAATTCTAGTTTCATCTCACAAGAAGAAAGGATTTCAAGTCTTGTACTAACTATTCACCATTCTGAATTCTGTTTGCTCCCTAGTGTGTGTTGATGTGCATTCTTGTCTATGCTTCTGTACCTTTCAGCTTTAGTTGTTGAGTGATTTATTTTTTGGGCTGTTGTGGTACTTTGAAACAAGAAGAGATAACCATTCCACCAACTCTTTTTTTATGAGATGTGACTAGCTATTTTTCCTCCTGCATGGGTATTGGTTTTATCTCTGCTCTATTGTGTTTCTGGTGGAAAGTTGTAATTCAATTGATAGCTAGTCAAGTAACTTGCTGGTTGGTTACATTCATCTGTAGTTGTTTTCCATTTTTTGTTTCTCTTAATCTCTTCTTTTGCATGCGGATTATTTTCTTGTGAAATCTTTTATCTAGGTTAGTTTTTAACGTGGTAAGGTGACTGAGGAAATGAAGCTATGTTAGTTACATGGAAAATTTTGAAGAAACTTTCAGCTAGATAGATTGATGTAATTTAACTTTTTGCCAAAGTTGCCTATCTTTATTTATTTCTCTTCTCCCTCACTGACTTGGGTTGTATGGAGTACGTAATGGGCTTTTGTGCATGGGTGATTTGCTTTGCTTACGTCAATAGTAGTATATTCTGGATTACATTCCTGGATTACGTAGTGAGCTGTTTGTTTCCGTCTGTAGCAACTCAACTGAAGAATGATGATAATGAACGTATGCATATGTATATATGTGTCTACCAGGCATTCCCACATGCGTATGACAAATGTAAACTCCTAGTTTTAACTGTTAAGTTTAGCACATATTACTGGGGGTTTGTTTTTAAGAGTAAAAGAGAAAAATTCATGTTGAAAAGCTTGCCAAAACATTGGCATTGGAGAGAATGTGATAATGTTTTGACTAGCAAAGGTCGTAAATTTTAAATTATTTTTCAATTGTAGATGTTAATAGGTCCCTAAAATTATTAGGCACCGGTTTTATTTGTATGGAAATATAATTATAAGGGCCCTCTACATTACTTGCTACTTTTTTTTTTTTAATTTTGGTTGTATAATAAAGGGTAACAATTTTATATCATTTATCTTATTTTTTATCTTATTGATCCATTTACATGTTATGCGAGTCAAACTCAAAATTTCTTACGTCTAGTGATTATCAATAAAAAGAGATAACCATTAAATTATTTAAATCGTTAATTTCATTACTTGCTACTATTACAAGTGGAACATAAAACAATTGGAATTTTTCCATAAAAAGCATCTTGATCATACCTAGAATCAGCCTAGATTTTAAGGTATAATTTAGCTAAAAGAGGAAAAGGACCACGTAGAAAGAAATAGTCGTTATTTATGTAGCAGTATGTTTGATTCTATATATTCTTTCTTTGTTCCTTATGAATTATAGTAATTTTTAATTGACTTTCTGTTGTTATGAATTGGTGCTATGTTTAGCACTGTAAGGCTTGTAAAATTTACAACATAATTAACCACTTAAATAATTTAGTCAGATAATAGTATTAAGTATCAATGTAAAAGACTTGAAGACCACACTTTTTCACTGGCATTGGTGGGTATTCTTTTGTTGTTTGAATAAGGCCCTTGTTGGGCAAAGGCCATTTTTGGTGTTATGAATTTTATTTTATTGTTGTTTTTATTGTTAATCGACCTAGACCTCCCTCAGAGTCTGCAATATAATATCGATGTTTTGTCTTTCTGCAGACAATGAGTAGCTTGGTGGAAAGGCTTCGTGCTAGATCAGAGCGGAGGCCAATTTATAATTTGGATGATTCAGATGAGGAGGCTGATTTTGAGCATGGAAAACCTGGGAAAACTAAAGAGAAGTTAGAACAAATAGACAGGACTGATGCGGTCTGTTTTCTCTTCTTCTTTATTGGTCCTTAATTATTGGGGAAAAATTCCTTTCATTATCATGGCTATTTTGCTTTTCCTACTTTCTATTGTATATAATCTTTTCAATGTGCACTCTCAGTGCTGTCAAAATATGCTGAGTGATTAAAGAGAGTGTTCTGGTATGGGGTTACATCTTTGAGTGCTTTCTTGTTCTTCTCTATTCAGGATATACAACACTTTCTCCTTGAAAGTCAATTTTTTTTTCCTCTTACAGTTTTCTTGTTTCTTAACAGAAAGAAAATTCATGTCAAGCCTGTGGAGAAAGTGAGGATCTATTGAATTGTTCAACAAGTACATATTCCTACCATGCCAAATGTTTAACTCCACTCCTAAAAGGTCCTCATCCTGACAACTGGAGGTGTCCTGAATGTGTATGTTTCCAGAGTACTTGTCAGGCCACAAATGCTTCAGTTGATGAACTATAATGGTTTGCAGCAGCTGACAATTTCTTTTCTATTCTTTGCAGGTTAGCCCTCTTAATGATATTGAAAAGATACTGGATTGTGAAATGCGTTCCTCCATGGCTGAAGATAATGTTGCTTCGAAGCTGGGTTCAAAACAAATTTTTGTGAAACAGTATCTTGCGAAATGGAAGGGGTTATCTTATGTGCACTGCACTTGGAAATTTCTCAGTTTTTTGAGACAGAATATTGTTTTATGAATCTTTTTATTCCTTTGTAAGTGCAATAATCTTAAGAATTGCTTTGATTTATCGTCTGTGCTGTGTGACAAACATTTGCTGCATGTTCTGCTTGCAGAACTTGATTTTACATGGTCATCGGGGCATTCTGTTTATTTGTCTATCTGATAGCTATCATTCACTTGCTTCCTATTTTTGAGCCCCTGTTCTCTGTTAGGGTACCTGAGAAAGAGTTCCATAAAGCCTTTAAATCAAATCCTCGTCTAAAAACTAAAGTGAACAACTTCCATCGACAAATGGCATCAAACAATAGCTCTGAGGATGACTTTGTTGCCATTAGACCTGAGTGGACTAC